AATCAACAGAAACAGCCAATAATATTATGAGAGGAACAATATTCCTTCAATATTCTTTAATGGCTTTCGACAAGCAGCAATCGATGCTCCTTTAAAATAGTGTTTATTAAGTTCCTTTGAGCTTTCGGTGAGTTATTTCAAATGAATTGATAAATAGTTTAATTAAATATTATGCAAATAATGCCCCAGTAACACTGGGACATTATTGCTACTAAATAATAAAAAAATAAGGCGTTGATAATAAGAAACTTATTAAAAAATATATAACGCCAATTTTTCTACGATAATCCCATCCTCCATATTTATTTTCTATTTTGGTAAGATTTGAGGAAAAAATTCAATCTGAGTGCCGCAATTCAGCGTTTTTTCAAGATCGAAATGTCCGATAAAATGAGACTAGACTCTGTGACTCAGTCTACATAATATAGTTAATAACCGATCATTATTCAATGAAATATGACTCAATTTATGAGCGATTGTTTCAAGTGGAATCTCAATGATTTATTACACGAAACAAAAAAGTTATGAATATCGCAAATCAAAAATGTTGATGAAGAAAAATTAGAGATCGCTTGGCACTAGAATTTATCAACCTCACCTATAAAGTCAATCAATATTTAATAGCTTTGTATATAAAAAGTGGTGTCGAAGCGGAAGGGTAAACGGGTTAAATTTAACCCTTAATTAATCATCAGCGTTTTTAAATATCACCTTGACATTTCTCGTGTTTGAAATAAATGTGTCAATTTAAATATAAGTAGGTATTAGTTCAGTAAAATATGAATAAAGCAGTAGTGTACAAGTTATAAATCCTTTTTAATTAGAATTTGTACAAATAGCTACAAAACAATTCATACGTTGTTACAAAAAATGAGGAAATTTTTATTATTTTATACAATAGGTATCATATATTAACTTTAAATAGATAACAGAAGACATCTAAGCGATTTCAAACAACCTCTAGTTACTGATGTGTCTCAGACACTCAAAATCCAAACTATGTTCTCAAAAAAGATGTAACTGTGAGTGTAAAATGACCAATGGTAAGATATTCCACTAAGTAACTTCTTTTGAAGTTTTAGCTTGAAATTTGATGACTCTCACAACCATTATGATTTTTGAAACAATAGATTTGAAGGCTCAACTTATCAATCTTCACAGTCGTGTAATATTAGGGGCTTATCATACTCCGTATACAATGTATTATCCAGATATAACCAGGAGATGTAACTACTAACAAATATCGTGCGGCCCTCAATAAGACATATTCTAAGGGACACAGTAGGGTATAATATCCGCTGTTGTCATATTAGTAAAGTGTATGTATTAAAATATTCGCTCAAGAAAACGATTTACCTCCCACTCTTTTGTCACAAGCTGAATTTTTCACAGATGAAAGGTCATGATAAGGTAACCCTTATTCCAGAGGTAATACAAAATTAGACTGTGCAGAAGGGCACTATCATCAAAAATCCAGATATTGATACCACCGAATAGAGAAAAGTCGTCTTTTTTAAATATACCACTCATTTAACAAAAAACGAAGGCCTAAATAAAAAAAAATTCCTTATAAAATTTTTGCTTGTGTGTTGACAAGGTAACAGAATAAACACCATATTTTTTGCTTTTGAATTAATAAAGATATAACAATAAACGATGAGAGATGTCATAGGTTTACGCTGTAATTAATTCTCAGCGCCAATTTTATCGACTCTCAGTGTATCTTTCTCTTCACCTTCAAACGTAGCATAGCTCTGTTTCTCTCTACGTGCCGGCTGATGTATCACATTACTGATATGGTAGGATTTTTTCATTTTTTTATTATAAAACTTCTTGTTATGTTCCATTGGGCAATGTGTCATATTGTTATCTGTTTTTACTAAAAAATTGATAAGTGTATGTGTTATATATTAAATTACCTAATAAATTGGGAAGAAATATAGACATTTTTGCATCTTTATTATATCTACATTCATCCTCTTGCAGCTGAATATATTTGGGTAAGTTAAAAGTTTTCGTTTAAAATTTTAATTACGGATTTGTTTTTGCAAGTAGCAAAGACACAAATGATATCAAAATAGGGAAGCCCAAAAGTTGCATATCATTAAAAGAATATGCTCATATATTTGTAAACATTATTTTTAGAAATAAATTTAACGCTCAAATGATGTGGTATTTGTTCATTATAAAGGACATTCTATCAAAAATACAACACGTCAAAAGAGAGGATCCCAGAAATCAATTGATATAGAAATTGACCGACCCATTATTCCACTTCCGCTACAATAGAACTTATATTTAACAAAAGACGTTTAACAAATTTTCTGTCAGAGCAACTTCTTCAAAACTCCATTCAGCAAAAGCATATTCAATTTGTAACTAGTGGTGGATTCTTAAAAATCAATAAATATGGGAAGAAATTTGAACCATCAAAAGACCATTTTTTAAATTCAAATCACGAAGACGCTGATAATCGTACCTTATTGCACATATTGTCAGC